TGTCCCCCTCCCTCCCCCCCCCCATCCCGAGGCGGTTAACGGCCGCCCCCGCCTCAGCTGTTTATACCATAACTCCACCACCGGCTTTATCCCGCCGTCAGGAGACGGTTCCCCCCCCCCCAACGATAGCCATCGAGGGGCCGCTTTGATTCTGCCCCGGGCCTAATCTCCAACACAATTGCGTTTCCTCCGGTTTATTTTTGGCGTGGGAAAGCGAGGCGGGCTGCGGTGAGAAACCCGGGAGGCTGCCAAGCCAGCCCCGGCCGCCTTTTCCTGTATTTTACACCTTGCTCGAATTCCGCCCTTTGGAAAGGAATAATGGCTTTGGGATGTTTTTCTGAGCGGAGAGGAAAAGGATATTTCACGGCAGCCTTCGCTTTCAAAGGCCAACCCCCCCCCTCGGCCGGGGTCAGCGCCCCCCCCCGCACCTTTGTACGCGGGGCGTGCCCTTACCTACACACATATACACACACATATGTGTGTACATACATGTATATATATCTCTATGCGAGCGGGGATGGTTTCGGCGGAGGGGGGCGCTTGTGGTGGGGGGGACCACCAAGACATGGGACGTTAGTGTTCCCCAAGATGGGGGGCTGACGCGGGGCCCGCTCTCCCGCAGGCTCCCGGCCTCTTTCGGAGGACTGGCTCATCAGCCAGATGTCGATCCAGCGGTCGCTGTCGGTGGGCGAGAACTGGTCGCAGGACGTGCAGAGCGGCCCCCTCACCCAGCTGCGTTACTCCTACCGGGTGGTCTGCAGCGAGAACTACTACGGCGAGAGCTGCTCCCGCCTCTGCAAACGCCGCGACGACCGCTTCGGACACTACGTTTGCGAGGCGGACGGCACCTTGGCCTGCCTGCCCGGTTGGACCGGCGAGTACTGCACCGAGCGTAAGTGCCCGCCGCGGAGGCGGAGGGAGGGGGTGGCGGGAGGGTGCGCTCCCCGCCGCCGAAATGGGGCCTTCGCGGGCCTCGGCGCCTTCAGGGACATCACCCGCTTTGTGATGGGCGTTAGCATCAGCGTGGGATAGGGATGACGCCCAAGAGGCCTTCGAGAAAACACAGCCCCCACACCCCCCCCCAAGGTACCGGGGGGCTTATTTGACGAAGGGACCCAAAACCATGTCCCCACATCCAGCCTGACCCTGGTTGCAGCTGTCTTTGCGGTCAGGCCTTAACGTAGGGCGTCTCGGAAGAGGCTGCGGCAAAGCATTGTGCCCGGTTCCCCCCCCGGTAGGCGCTCGGAGCCCTGTTTTCACGCTGACCTTTCCACTCCCCGCCTGCAGAGAGAAAGTTGCAGGCTGAGGACTTTGCCCCCTTTGGCTGCCGTGCTTCACCAATGCCATGCTTTACCTCCGCGAGCATTCGCGGCAAAGAGCGAGCTAGCAGAGAAAGAAAGGAGCTTGGCTGATATCCCTGCGTCGGCGATACCTGTTCCACGTTAAAACGCTAGTAGCTCGCCCACACAAATGCTTCCACCGTTCCTGCTGCCAGAGGAGATGAGACAGGTGTTGCGGTGCAGTAGTAAGAACATTTACTGTGAGCTCGAGGTCCTGTTGGGTTTTTTCAGGCTTTTCATTAGCACAAGCCAAAGCCACCTCCTCTTGCTCCCTTTCTTGTGAGAGTTGCAAGAGTTCATGTTTGTTGTATAAACAGAAAAACTAAAGGACAACTTGTCAGATGTTGGCTCTCCTTGTTCACTTCCTCCTGCTCCAGAACTCCCCGTACTGAGAATTTAAAAAAAAAAAAAGCTTTTAAAGTACAAAACTGTTTTTCAAAGTATTTTTTTAAAAGCTGGCTTTTGCCCTTTTAAAAGTGTATTCTGTAGTGCCATGTGTATTTACCTAAATGTTTCTGCTTTTTTATGTTCTCTTTACAGCCATCTGTCTGTCTGGATGTACCGAACAGAACGGATATTGCAACAAGCCTGGAGAGTGCATGTGAGTAGATAGCAACTGCAATCCGAACTCCACTTAAAATGTCACCTTGTAATGGAAACTTAAACTCTTTTCCATGTCATTAATGTTTTAATCTGACTTTTCTTTTAGCTGTCGTCCCGGCTGGCAAGGCCGCTACTGTGATGAATGCATTCCCCATATAGGCTGCCGCCACGGGACTTGTAAAACACAATGGCAGTGCATATGTGATGAAGGATGGGGTGGCCTCTTCTGTGATCAAGGTTAGTTCTGAAGTTTGTGTTTACGGCTCTAGACTGGGTACTCCTCAGTACTGGACTAAGGAATCTGACCCGTTGGATCTAGAATTAAATTTCCGCAAGGTACATGTTCATAGGCATCAGTTTGTACCGCCGCTGTCTTAGGTACCAATTCCTGTATTTGTAGTAATTTTGTTCAAAAAGAAGCAAACCTTTTTGGTAGCTGCAGTTTTTGTCTTGCAAAAAAAGGTTTTGTCTTTGAAAAAACCCCAGCAACCTGGATGAACATTGAACAGGCAAGTTTTCTGCCTGCTCAAGCTAAGTTTAACTTATTCCCTGCACAACTATAACAATTTACTAAACAGTTTCCAGCAGCAGTAAACACCATCATTTGGGCCTTCCTTATTTTGCATACAAGGAAGTTAACTCATGTGATAAGTCTGGAGCATGAGAGAAAAATCATGTAAGCAAGAATGAAAAGTACAGGTTCCATTTTAAGGTACACCAGACCACTTCCACCTATTCAACCCACTGAATCACTGAACCGGAGCCAGCTGAGCAGTCATGTCCTCAAGGCCATATATGCACTGCTGGCACTGAGATCATTAAGTACTCAAACCAAGCTAAGTGTTTTCAAGACAGTTATGGGATTAAGATGGCAAAGTCTGAATTAAGCAGGAAAAGTAAAGCTGCAGATTTTTTTCTGCTTGTAGTTATCTATTAACCAGTTGTATTCCAATTACTCTATGGTATTTATAGAGATAATAAAAATTTTCTACTTATGTCCTATGAACTTATGCGCGTAACCTCTGGCTCAAATTTAAAGGAGGGGAAAAAAAAAAAAAAAGGACCATCAAGCTTGGCAGAGCATTTAGTTTAAACTACTAATATTCATAACAAGAGAGCATGTTAAATAAACAAATAAAGATTTCTAGTGTTTGTTTAAATCTCCAGGCCAAAACATCTTTATTTTCTCCCTGTGTCCCCAGAAGGTGCCTCAGAGCACACCTTTTAAAGGTGGGGCTCACTGCTTTAGTATGTGACATGTTGTGCAAAAAGTGTCTATAGTGCCACGGCGTGTCTTTCGGAGAACACGCACTTAGGAAGTACATTTTGCAATTCGGCATCTAAATCCCATTGCAGCTAATGGGCTTATGCACACAAAAAAGGGAGAGTATACCAAAGCACTAAGAAAGTTAAATTTTTGCCAGGTTTCTCAAAATTCAGAGCTCACATATTACAGTGATGGACATAGAGAAGTATCTAAAATCAATGATAATCTGAAACACCTGATTATTACTGATAATAGCCTGGATAATCATCTGCAGTATTCCTACTGATAGCAAAACGAAATAATTCCTTGAAAATTCTGTCTTTTTTGTTGACTACAGTGTTTCTGTAGGAATGTCTTTTCCCAGCTATCAGAGACGTTTTCTCTAACTCCTGGTATCTTTGCAGACCTGAACTACTGCACTCATCACAGACCATGCAAAAACGGAGCAACTTGCATGAACACTGGCCAGGGCAGCTATACGTGTTCATGCAAACCTGGCTTTACCGGTGTTGACTGCGAACACGAGATCAGCGAGTGTGACAGCAATCCCTGCAGGAATGGCGGTAGTTGCACGGTAAGGGCTTTTTAAATGTAAGGTCTTTGTGTGAAGCAAGCCCCAGTATACCTTTTCAGAAATGGTTCTGTAACAACGTAATGGGAATTCGATAGTACGCAGGTTCATTACCGACGCTCACAACTATCATACTGAACCCTTCCCGAGAGGTGTCAGGGGAGGAAGTCTGTTACAGGAGGAGATGTATCATCTAGATTAGAACTAGTCAACTGATCCTTAGGTTTCTGTGGCAGCTATTATGAGAGCCTGGCAAGATCCAAGGTTGGTGAGGGAGCAGATCTGTAAAAAATAAGCTTCTCAAACCAAGGTTCATACAGAAATGCACGAAGTCTGTATTTTAATAGCAAGTAAAAGAAAACTTCTGCTTTCCACTACGGGAGTGTAGCGTCACACAATAGGAGGGCAATCAGCTGAAGCACTTTCTGTGAAACAGGGTTCTGCATTTTTAGTTTCCTGCAGTCTCATGTTTCAGTGTGGTTTTGGACAGTCAATGATTGATTCTACCTGTTGATAAAGACTGATCGATTATAGATATCAAATGTAATCTGATGCACGTTTAGATTAAACCTAATGGCGCAAGACCCTAGCTTGCTTCTCCCAAGGCCTTGGACACACAGTACTTGGAAAGAAGAAACCGTTTCATTATGATGTGAGTGGTGGGACTTAGCCACGGCAAAGCAATGTAAGCCCTTGTAAAGAAAAAAGGGCTCTCACGCTGAGGATAAACGGCCTGATCACAGCTGCGTAGGTTGACACATGCCATTCTGCTCTGGGAGGACCTCGGGGACCCCATTAGACAGTAGTGGTGTTAGTAATGTTTTTGTCTAGCTGCCTGTAGGCTTCCTACAACTGCGTCTGCTCTGCTTGTGTAGCTGCATGATTACTCCTACACGCTGGCTACGGCCGATTCACAGCTCTATCCCTCACAGTCCAGCCTGCACCTATTTACTCGCCAAATGTCACATCAGACCGTGGATGAGAAGGGACCGAACAGCGCTCGCTGCCGACCAAAAATAAGTGTGCAAGCAGCTATCATTTGGTGCCATCAAATAACGGTGGCCTAACGTTGTGTTTTGCAGGATATGGAGAACGGTTATCACTGCCTGTGCCCCCCTGGCTACTATGGCACTCACTGTGAGCACAGCGCTTTGACGTGTATAGATTCTCCGTGCTTTAACGGTGGCACGTGCTTGGAAAAAGAACAAGGGGCCAGCTACACTTGCGTTTGCCCTTTCGGCTTCACAGGGTCAAACTGTGAAAAAAAAGTAGACAGGTGCACAAGCAACCCGTGTGCAAATGGTGAGTCATTTTATCGAAAAATCTCATGTCTCTGACTCGTTTGTGCTTTTCAGTGCAGAAGTGATAGAAATCCAATCTGACCTCTACTCTTCCTCTGATACATTAGTCCCTCTCCCCCACTGTATTCCACATCTACCCTAATTTTAGTCTCCTGCAGGGGTGGGACTTTCACTGGCATTTTCTATGCAACAAAAGAATGCACAAGGTTTATCATGTGATGGGGAAGATGGCAGAATTAAGTAAATTAAATTAGCTGTATTACATATTTAAAAGGGGCATATTTTTAAGGCACAGCGATACAATTAGGTAAACTAGAAGGAACTTTTAGGTGTGCGGTTGTTTTGTAAAATAACCTCCCTCTTCTTGAGATAGTATAAAAGGCCAACGGGGGAGAGGTTTAGGTTTCTGAGCGAAGTGCACCTCAGACTAATTTTTTTTATTTTACTTTTTTTTCCTCAGATGGTAATTGCTTTTACCTTGGTCAGATCCGTGTGTGTCGTTGTCGGGCTGGTTTCTCTGGTCAGAAATGTGAGATAAACATCAACGATTGTGCCAGAAACCCATGTTCCAATGGGGGAACTTGTCATGACCTGATCAACGATTACACCTGCACGTGCTTGCCAGGCTACAGTGGCAGGAACTGTGACATCAAAACCAGAGATGAATGTGCTTCTGGGCCATGTGAGAATGGAGGCACATGCTACAGCGGACTTTATAGTGCCAACTTTGTCTGCTACTGTCCTTCTGGCTTCATGGGCAACCGTTGCGAATTGCCAGTTTATTCAGTGCCCGTTACGCTTCCTCCTAAACCAGTCCCCTGGATTGCTATATCCATGGGGGTGGGGCTGGTGGCTTTGCTCATACTGTTCTGCATGATAGCAATGGTCATCAGGCAGATGAGGATGCACCCAGAGCAGGACTTGGAGACAATGAACAACCTGTCTGACTTCCAGAAAGACAATCTCATTCCAGCTTCCCAGCTCAAAAACACCAATAAAAATAAAGACCTTGAAGTGGACTGTGGGCTAGAGAAGTCAAACTACAAACCCAAGAATCATAAACTGGACTACAATCTGGTAAAAGATCTGACAAGTAGAGGGACACAGGAAGAGAAATATTACAAAAGTGAAAAGTGTTTAGGAGAAAAGTCTCCCCTCCGACTACATAGGTGAGAATGCAGTCTTCCTTCTAGTCTTTCTTAAGGCCCCTCATCTTCATACCAGTCTAGAAGCAGATGAGAAAATACGGGGGTGAGGGAAAGAAACCTTGAGCAGATAATATACAGAACAAACCAGAGCAAAGCCAGGAATCTTCACACTGGAGTATGTGTGTCACGACCAAGTGGTAGCCTTAGCTAAGTCAATTGAGTGTTTGTGCAGGGTGCTGCTAGTATGGGTACTGTGAAGGGGAACAAGAGTGGCTAAGGTCAATGGTGAAAGAAAGAAGCGTCTTTCCTTCCTGAGTAGATCTTGGTGGAACAACAGTTAAGGCATATAGTGATTAAAAATAAGTATTTCGCTTATTAAGAAGGTGAAGTGATCTGCTTACTAAGGAGAATGATAGAGTGAAAGTAACTACCCTTTTTCAAAAAAAGAAAAGGGCGGGTATTCACTGGCTCATCAGTCTTCTGATACACATACTGGAAGTCTTGTCTGGGATCTGCTTGTGGCTGTTGCACTGAGGGATCTGAGGAGCATGCTATTAGGTTGGACATGGCAGAAACATAGGAAGACAGTAGCTTTTCCTTACTTCCCCTTTTCTATTATAGTGTCCTGCCACCATATAGAACATGTAAAACTTCATCCTCTGCACTTCCCTCCCACACCTTCATGGCTATCTCATTCCACCCCTCCATATTCATGGTAGATTTTGAGAGTCAGGCTTGTCAGTAGTCAACTAACGTTCTTTTCTCTCTGTCCTGCCTTAGTGAAAAGCCAGAATGTAGGATATCAGCGATATGCTCTCCGAGGGATTCAATGTACCAGTCCGTTTTTGTGATAACAGAAGAAAGGAATGAGTGCATCATAGCCACAGAGGTAAGTAAGTACACAGGTAGACAGGCATAAATTCACAAAGTAAAGGGGTAAATTATACTTTAGAATTGCATCTGAGAAGGTTACTCTATTTCCAGGGATCCTGATGCTTCCCAGCATTTACCTCTTCTCTTCTGTGGCCCACACAGAACATACAGTGGGGAAAGTAAAGAAATTAGCAGCTCTGATTTTATTAAACCGGATAGTTTGAGCTTAGATAAGTCAGCGGGAGATGAAAGCACAGAACATCAGCCCATAAAAATTCAGCACATTACAGGATTACTTCCTCATAAACAGGTAGTCAGCAAAAATGGAAATAATAGTCATTCATAGGCCCATTGATATAAAGCCATGTTTTTTTCCCATGACTACAATGGATAATCGTGTTCTGTGGAAACAGGCAAAGCTATAGATTTTCAGCAGAAGATGGAAGGTAGCTGAATGTGTTAGTGGATAGGCACTACAGCCATTTAGGAAGTCTGTAACGAGGTAGTTTCAACCTCTTGGCATTTAAGCTCCAGCTATATATCCTCTAACAGAAGTTAATGCTGTTATTGATAAACATATCTAGATTTTGATGTTACATTGAAAAGTCAGAGGACAGATACATGAAAAAGGAAGTGCCTAGCATTGAACTTTCAAGACTTTAAAAAGCAGCTGTTGAGGAACCAACCAGTTCCTGAAGAATTACTGACGCTGTGGCTTAATGGAAGTTAAAGGCACTTTGACATTAACCACTACCTGCCACCTTCAGTGTGGCCATCTTTAGGACTAGTTTCAGACTCCAGGAAGGAGAAGCTTGCTGTGCCATATAGCAGTGATCTGTGAAGTCAGATCTGCAGGACTCTGTCTCCCTTGCCAGGGTGGATATCAGATTTCCTCTTGAAAGCAAGCTGGAACACAAGTCAACCAACAATATTAAAAGTTTAAGACTAAGTGAAAGGATTTTCAAAGATGACAGCCAGATGCTTCATTCCCATTAGCTGATCTAAATACCATATCTTCCTTTGAAGATCTTGCTGACCAAAGCTAGACTCCCAGATTTACATCAGGCATCTCCAGAAGTGTTTTTATTTTCAGAATGACAGCCCCTGAAACCTCTCTCCACATCATTCAGACTTAATGCTTCTGAACACAAGCTGTTTAACTACACCATATGCCTTTTACAGAGACCTAATGTTAAACACCGAGATTTGTAAGCATTCTTCCCCTCAGTCCAGGTACAGAGGCTACTTATCGTACAGATGACTTTTTTTTTTTTTGCTGGTGATTCTTTGTCTCTGGACCCAGCCAGAAACATTGAATGCTGATAGTTAAACTGCAGTAATGTCTGGCTTAAATTGCTTTGGTTTGACATACTTGAATTACAATTTCTTAGTTGTGCAGTAGTCTGTATGCTGTGCTTCCTTCTCACTCCTGGTATGATTTTATATCCTGACAGGTATAAGACTGAAGATCAGCCCATTTGCACCTCAGATTTGGTAATGCCAGTAGATGGACGTTCCTGCTGCATTGTTTACAATTCAGAACTGGATTGGACTGTTTTTAATTACATGCAACTTGCTGCTCTCAGGCGGAGGATGGAACTGGGTGAACTGGACAGACTGTGAATTTACTGAAAGATGCAATACACCTTTTTGTTCTTACTGCCCTTGTTTGAAATTTGATACCAGAAATCTCATTGGCTATAGAAGAGGGGAGGCAGAGGGAAGAGAGAGGGGTTAAAAATGTTGTCGTTTTAATTTGTTTTTAAAAGATACTGAGGCCAGTTCCTCATGGACAGACCCCCTGGCTTTCCAGAACTCTGGTTATGGGAGGTGCCGGTAGATGAGGAGGCACTTAACTATCACAGATGTTGCCATGGAAGGTGTGAAGAAAGACACATTGCTATGCAGATAATGGATACAGTATAAACGAGGTCTCCATTTTTTTCTGGGTTTAAAAGTGCCTAAAATGTGTCAAGAGAATCTAACAAGCCCAAACAGAGACTTGGCTGCTCTTTTTGCAGTTACCTGAACAGTATTGGGCAGGGGTGGTTGATACTTCCTGCTACACATCTATTTGCATCTCCTCTCTCCTGCTGCAAATACTGGAGACTGTCTAAGGGGTGAGAGGAGGAAGGAAAGAGGAATACGGAATTTACATGTCATCTCATTTGGTGATGCTTTGGAGAACTGATTGGCCCAAGCCACAATATGGGACAGGATTTTTGTGGATTTAAACATTCGAGAAGGAAAAGTTGTGATGAGGAATGTGTATTGCCTCTTCCCCATTGATAAGGAGGAGGTGTGATCCCAGCTCTATTTAAAGCCTTATAAATGCGTTTAAAATCAATCAGCTCCTAGAACGTTTATATGCTGAGCTGTCTCAGCTGTTTTCATGCCCTTTGCACTACCAGTAATTGTGAATAGACATTACCTTTTTCTTCTCCTTCCTCATTCTCTCCCCCCTGCCTTATTTTGACACAGATTTGGGGGTTTATGTCGTGTTTCTGAATTAGGTGCCACCTTCAACTGCAAATAGTCTCAAAATTGCAGCTGTTACTTTCTGAAGGAGAAGCAGCAGTGTGACACTCCCACCCCCCCACCCCCATTTCTCCACCTGGTTACAAAACTCCCGACTCCTGTCCTTCATCCCGGTTCCAAATGCCCAATGGCGAAGCACCCACTGAGATGCCCTCTGCCAAGACAGGTGGAGATTAGAGTTAGAAGGTTCTAGGCTCGTCCTGTTTCTTTCGTACCCACCCACTGCTACACGGAAAAGGGGAAGCCTGCCCCTGGAAACCAGAGGTGTGCAGAAGCTCTTTTCTTATATACGTATTTACAGCAATAATACCGGACACCCCAGTGGAAAGTGCTGTGATACTAATGAGATGAGACCATGGGGTGGGGCAGAATGAGGAGGGAGGAAACAAGATCTCTTTGAAGAAACCTGGACCGTGCTATCTCTCGGACAGCGATATTCCTGCCCTTGTAAATCCTGTTGTTGGACTAGCCCATCTACTGCCTTGAACTGTGCAGACAAGACCCCTTCATAATGTCCACTACTGACCTTCTGCTCTGACCACGTAGGACCATTTTGAAGATGACCTTCAGAAATCAATAATATGGGTTTTAGTTTGTCTGTTTGTAGTTTATTTTGAAGACTAGTATTTCAGTAATTTAAAAAAAATCAGAAGCACTGAACTTTCTACGTTTTATAACATTATTTTGTATATAATGTATATTTATAATCAAAACAGAAGTGTAAATATGTTTATTACTTCTCATGTAATGTTTTTAATGTGATGACAAAGTTTGAATTTTATTTTTTTTTTCAAGCAATGAAAATACTTTCCTGCTACTACAAAGTTTATTGTGGTTTGTCCTTTTATACTTCAGGTTCCATGATTCTGTGACAGCCAAGGTTACTTGAAGCCCCAGAAGTAAGCTTGTCTGCCTGCTCCCTGCAGTCAGCCCAACATTTACATTTTGCACACCAACTGCTGTCGGCTGCCTTTTATAAAACGACTATACTGTTAACTGATGTCAACAAAGTTGTTTAGCTGAGTGGCATTCACCTGACAGGAAAGTTATTCGTATTTATATTGTGATATATAATATTTAAATTATATATATATTCTTTTGCTATGGAGTGGGGCTGACCTGTCAGGAAAGTTATTTTTATTAACACTTCGTTCTTCCTCTTCCATGACAACTTGTGGCATGGAAGATACAGATTTAATACCATTTCAAAGTGGCTTAATAAATGTGCTGGCTTGGGGTTCACTTACAGAACAAGATACGATTACTATTTTTTTAAAATCCCATTTCTTTAAATACTTCCAGTAAGACCCAAATCTTGCCCGCAGGTTATTCTTGCACAGCGTCTACGTCTACACTTGCAAGATCGTATTCTTGTTTGTTTGATTGCGATAGGTAAGATTTGTCTTTCACTTGTGGGATTAGGGGGAGTTTCAGGCTTTCTGCTCCCGAGTTCCCTATGCTACACCAGCAGCCATGTCCTCCAAGGGCATCGCAAAGTCATTTTCCTCTGCAGCCGTTTTGGAGGACATTTCCACAAAAAAAGTGTAAAAAGCACACGTATAAAACAGTCCCAGCAGGTTTAGTAGCCTCTGAACCACATAAATTTACAGACAATTAAATCTCTCACTAGATCAGCTAGGTGCAATACAGCCAACATCTGAACACACAAAAGCAAAAACTATAAGAACAGGAAACCACTGCTGCTCTATTTTAAAACCAGACTTTTTTTGTTGTTGTTGTTGTTGACAAAATGCCAAAAAAGCATCTTAGCATTGGGTGCCTTTTCTATCTTTCCCCAAAATAAAATCTAACCAAAATTTGCTTGTTTTTTTTTAAAAATACAAAACAAAAAAACCCCACTGGCGTTAAAAAAGCACCTTAACAAATTATTTTTACTTTGTTATTAAAATACTGCAAATAATGGTTTATAAGGGTCCTTCTGAGTGTATTATTAAGGTTACGTAGATACTATTTATTTTGGATGGTTTTGTTTCTCCCTCTTCAGTTCTTTTCTTAGCAAAATTAACTTTCAAATCCCAGCCGATTTCCCTGGCTACCATAAAAATAAATTTAAGATGAAACTCAGAAATAAAAAGCCACCTCTCCCTCCCCAAACATTCACCCCGTAGAGCAAATTATGAAAAACAAGCCATTGACAAAAAGCCGAGCAGATGCTCCCTGCTTGCAGTCCTTCCTCGGCAATGTGAAATAAACCCAACAGATGCCTCTCTTAATTGAGCACATGGATTACATACACACATGCACTCTGTCCTGCTTAAAACAAAACACACACAAAAATCAAACAGGAAAATAGCCAGAGAACTCTTCCCAAAGCCTAGGCAAGCAGGAATGCTAAGACCAAAAAAGACTCGGCTCTTCCTGCTCAAAAGGAGACAGGAAACCGTATCCGTAGACAGAAGGGAGTTGAAATTCATTAAAACCCGTGGACCTGATTATGTAGATCCCACAGGGTAAAGCAGGTACAACACATGCCTTTGTGTATCCACACAGGAGAGGAAAGAAAAAAAAGCATCAGTTTACAAGGAAATCTGCGAATATTTACTGGAGGCAGTACTGAACTACGCAGCTACCAGAATAGATCACAGATCCTACACAGGAAAAACAGGAGCGGTGCCTGCTTCCACACAGGAGGAGATGGAAAGCGTATGTGAGTCTATGCACGTGTGCACATCCCCAACTCCTTGCAAAAGAAACTACAGGCAAATTAGCTGAACGCATAACATGACCTGGATTTAACCCACATCTTCAGCCAAAACTTCCTTACCGAGGGCTGCTGTGCACTGACCGCTCACCGGCCTGCCCCGCGCCCTGAGGTGAGTGCATCTCTGAGCCAAAGGGTATGAACTCACTAGGAGGAGCTCTGAGATCCTTCTGGACTCCTTCTGAGTCTTTACAGGCTCAGCCTGAATTTCAAAGACTCTTTTTGAGGACCACAGACGATGCCACGACCGTAAATGTACCGACAAATAATGCCTTTACTCTTAACAAGCTTATAGAGTTCTCAGACCCAATGGTATGACTTACTTCTCTCAGCATAATTTGTACCAACTATGGCAAGATTACGGATTTGGCTTGAGGGCTGCACCTAAATGTGGCTTTCAGGTTTAAAAGACTGCAGAAACTCACTTAAAAGCAATGTGACAAAACAACAATTTTAAGAATGGAATCTTGCCTCTGAGAAACTCTTTGGCGTTTCTTTGTATTAGCACCTGATAGAAACTGTTTCACAGCCACGCAGAGCCCTTCTGTCTAAACAATTTCAGAGCTGGATCGAGTGGGAGGGGTGCTGCTCCGTGCAGCACTTCGCTCGAGTTGTTCCATGTTTTGTTCCAGCCCTTCATCATTTACCTTTTTAAACAGTCCGCTGATTAGGGGAAACAGATGCCGGGATATACCCGTAACTATAGCACCCACTGGTGCTGAGACAACATGCAGCAGCACTGTGCTGATGCAAACACAGCACAGGGCATGGAGTTCAGCTAGTGTAGGTGAAGGATGCTTGTAGAAATTAGGCTTGATACAGGATGTGCCTAAAATGGGATAAAACGCAGAATGCATTTTATTATGCACAATACTCATCCAGCAACAGCTCTCAGCCTTTAAACAGCTGCTGAGAAAGCCTAAATTCGTTATGGTGCAATTGCAACCACCTAGTCCAACAGATGAAACCATCTCTGTGAAAACGCATTTCAAGTATTTTCATTGCTCCTCAGTCTTTTTTCATTAGTTCACGGTAAAATGAGAAAGGCACAGCAGGTCACTAACAAACCCGTACTATAGTGGCGTAAGTGACAGTTATGTACCTATGTTCACCTGTCATTCCCTTATCTTGCACACCTGATCCATAAATACATATTGATTTTACGCAGCAGATCCGACACTCCCAGCACATTTTGCTCACAATCCAAACTCCAGTTGTGGAGAATTGACATAACTCAGTGGCCCTCTGCCGTGCATCATAACTTGAATTTTACAGCCTCTCTGGAGAGTCAGCATCAAGATTTCCCCCACTTTGCACTCTATTTAAAAGTTTTGCCAGCTCAGCTCCCAGAGCTTGCAGGTAGTGACCCTGCTGGCTCGTGACACCCAAAGCAGTGGTGAGATTTCTCCTTGATCACTCTTGCGCCTGCTCTAACCCTGCCTCCTCTGCTCTCAGACCTCGTCTGGGCAACAGCGTGACTCAGCACCATAAAACTACCCTTTCTCTTTCTCCTCCCTCTGCTGGTCTTGCCACCACCACCGTCCTTGCTCCTCTTCCCTTGTGCAGCTTTGGGGCATATTTCTGCAGCACAGTGGTCCATCACGCTGCAGGGTTAGGACGGAACTCTCTGATTCACCAGGTAAACGATTGTGTACAGAGCAATAATTTCAGGTGCTAAAGCAATTGTTCCATGCACAGCATTTGATTCTGGGGACCAGCACATACCTCTGTCCTTTCTCTTTTAAACCTTGATGGCAGACCATCACCTTCCCAGAGGAGCTCCCTTCTCCACAGATAGATCAGCCGTCCCTTCCAACGAGCTGTTCAGCCCTTGGGAGATGCAAGGGGGAAGAGACATAACGTTGATCTGCTTACAAGGCTCACCCAGCAGTCACTGCCACCCAGAGGTCTTCACTGCCTTCCAGCAACCCTCCACACCTCCCTGACAGACTCGCTGGTGACAGGCTCTGCGCAGCTTCCCACACTGCAGGAGTGCACCCCGGGGCAGGAAGAAGAGCAGGTATAGTTTAAAAGTGCAGGGCATGGAGTGGACTGGAAAATAACTCCTGCTCTCCAAGTCTCCATCTCAT